TATGCTGCCCGTCCCACACATGGTCCTGGTGAGGCGCATGGGCAAGTCTGCCTCCCCTCCCTCACCCCCAGCCCCACCCCCCTCCTCTCTACTGCATAGTTGCGTACTGCCTGGCTGGTAGACACACTCATGCAATGTGAGCGTGTCTACCAGCCAGGCAGTACGCAACTACGTACTGATACTCATGATGATAATAAAAAACTTAATTAGAAAATACCGCACATTTCTATGTCCGGTATTTTCTCAATTTGTTTTCTGGACAGAAAGCTGAACCCACCCCCCTCCTCTCTACTGCATAGTTGCGTACTGCCTGGCTGGTAGACACACTCATGCAATGTGAGCGTGTCTACCAGCCAGGCAGTACGCAACTACGTACTGATACTCATGATGATAATAAAAAACTTAATTAGAAAATACCGCACATTTCTATGTCCGGTATTTTCTCAATTTGTTTTCTGGACAGAAAGCTGAAATACTGGACAGTCCGGTTCAAAATCGGCTGGTAAGAGGAAAGGAAGCAGCCCAGAGCAGGGCATTTATATATGACCCACAGGCTGGCGTGTTTCGGCGGGAAGCCCAGCTAGATAGACAGGACCACGTCAGGTCTGAGTCCTTAGGGCCCTGGGCTGGGATCCGTGAGAGAGGGTGGGCCCGGACCCCTCTCTCCCTGCTGTGTAAAGTGGCATTACTAGACAAGGTCACATCCTGATTTGAAATAGCCCAAATCATGACAAAGAAAGACTAGTGCTGGACAGACACAGCGTGGGTCGAACTTCGGGATTTACAGAATGGGTGATAGTTAGGACAGATAAATAAAAACACCAGGTGACAAACTTTACACATGCATAATGTTAAAACTATGAACACAGAGACAAATGAGACTTATATGTCATCTGAAGAAGTGAAAGCTCATGACACCATTTATATATTTTTGTTAGTCTCTAATGTGCTACAGGACCACTGGTTTTTTTTGTTTTTGTTTTTAAAGTTATAGACTAACACGACGACTACTCTGAGCCCCCAGGCTATTATTACATTTAAAAAGCTGAGCCGCAATGGTCTGGAACTGGGTGCAAGATGGGAGAGCTGAGTCTGGGGACTCATTAATTCCTATCAGTTACTCGACTATCCTGTAGTGCCTGGGGGCAGGCCAGCAGCCACTGTGCTCCAGCCCCACTCCCAAGGAGCCCTCTGCCACTCCACACTGCTGCCTCTGTATCAGAGTAGCCAGGCAAGAGCTGGTCTGCAACATGAGCCAGTTTAAAAACCAGCTTCCCTCACGGACTGGCTCCCTGTTGCCCCGTGCTGCTGCCTCTGACACAGAAGCAGAAGCCTGGAGTGTCAGCGGCTCTTGTCCAGGGGGAGGGGCCGAGCTCCTGGACCTAGCACGAGCTGAAACTGAGCCGGGCTGCTTGCCCGCCTGGCACCTAATACATTTTAAATGCAGAGCTGCAGCAGGGGTAGGTCCCAGACCTGGCACAAGCCAGGACTGAGCAGGTCTGCTGGCCAGCCTGCTAAAGAATTTACTGGCAAGGGAAATGGGGTGAA